CAGAATTTAATCAACTCAACCATGCATTTTGCAATTCTGTGATTAAAATGAGTTGTTAGACTTCCAACACTGCTGAACAACACCAAGGAAACTTGTTCAAAGCTTAAGAACCAATAAATCTGGTCTGAAACAGCTTATAGCTAATGCACCAGATTTGGAAATATTGTGCAGAATTTGGAAAACAGATTATGAAGAACTCAACCACTCATTTTGGAACGCAGTGTGTATTACTTATTGTTAACACTTGAAACATATGTGAAAGCAACAAACAAACTTGTTTCAAGCTTTAGAATCCAGAAATCTGGACAGAAACAGATTATAGTAAATCAAACCAGAAAATGAGTTTTTCTACAGAATGTGGACTGGAAAACAGTGTACCATGCTTGTGAGCTCAAATGATCAAAGCTGACGTACTGTCATTACTTTATAGATCAACATATAGCTAGCAAGTGCACTGGATTCAATGAAAAACGTAAAAAAAATTCAAAACTGAGCAGATGCAATACGTGATGACAGATTAAAACTGCAGCACACTGCACATTACATTAACAAAACTGGAAAGTGGATTAATAAAGCTGAATTTGAACTCAAACAAACAAAGTGCACCGATTAAAATGATGATGAAACACTAAGGAACAACTGAATGAACACAAACAGCAAGCTCAAGTACGAATTAAGCCAAACAAAATTAAAAAAAATTGATAAAACAGTGACAGAGTTGACAGCACATGACAGAAACGAAAAATGAAGAAAAGAGCAACTTAGCTCGTTGAAGCACAGTGTGGACGTGCTGGCTCTTGATACCAAATGATGGAAGCAGCTTCACTCTTCAAGAATGAGCAGCTTCTCGGACCAGAGGTGGCAGCAGAATTGGAAAACGCAGATGCAGTTGGAGGCGCACGGAAGGTGTTTGATGAATTGTCTGGTGTTAGGCAGAGGTTCTAGCTCAGACGGCCTTCCAAGGGGGAAGGAAGCTAGAGGATAAGTGTGCTAAGAAGGCACAAGTCAGTGAACTTGAAAGTGAGAACTAGCTGGACAATTTAGCAACATTTCTTTATACAATTCAAGTTACCATTACAAAGGATTTGGCTTCTCTTTTATAGATAAAGAGAAATGTGCCTAGCAAGCTACTGGACATACTAGCAATGTACATGAAGCTCTATAAGAAGTGTGCAGGAGAAGCTATATAGCTGGCCACATGTTCCATACGGTAAACATTGAAAACATGCTTTAAAAGAAAGTGGAAACTCTGGTTTACTTGGTTGGCCATATGCTGTATATCAGCTTTGCTTTTCCAATCCAAAAAGCACTTCATTTCTTCCTTTCTTTACCTCCTTTGCTTCCCTTAGTTCACCAAGCTTCTTTGGTTGATTGGCTATGGTTTTCCACTCTTATTAGTGACCTACAAAACAAGGTAAATGTATTTAGTTAAAGAGAACATTCTAAGACTTAGAAAGAAAACATTAAGTCCTTCATTCAACTTCCCTTTCTTAGATCTTAGAGTAAAGTTGATACTTCTTTGGATGGGAAGTCCCTAAAGGGGTTGCCATCAGGACATGTCCATAAGCTATGCTTCCAAAAACTTAAAAATGTTTGACACTTGGCTTTCTTCCACTCCATGCTTCCTATGGTGTCATTCCATCCAGCTTCGAATGTGAGCACCTATTTTGTACATATATAGCACACTGCACAACCTCTGCACAAAAACTCCTTTGGCATATTTTTCCTTTTAAGCATGGTTTGAACCATATCAAGAATAGTCTTATTCTTCTTCTCTGCCACACCACTCTATTGTGGTGAATATGGAGCTGTAAGAAAATGCCTTATCCCCCACTCTTCACAGTACTCCTTAAATTTTGTTGATGAGAATTCACCTCCCTTGTTAGATCTTAATGCTTTAATTTTCTTGTTAGTTTCCTTTTCGACCATCAGTTTGAACATCTTAAAAGCCCCTAGTGCTTCAGACTTCTCCTGTAAAAAATACACCTAGGCTTTTCTAGAGAAATCACCTATAAATGAGATGAAATACCTTTTACCACTGAATGAGCTAGGAGTAATAGGTCCGCATCGGTGTGTACCAATTCGAGTTGCTCTTTTGCCCTGTACATGGCCGAGTTTGGAAACTTTGTTTTTGATTGTTTTCCGAGCACACATTCTTCACAAAATTTCTTCTTAAATTCTATATCGGATAATCCGAGTACTAATTCTCTCCTTGGGAGCTCGACCAAGCTTCCAAAGTTAAGGTGTCTAAATCGAAAATGCCATATCATAGCTTCATCTTTCATGTCCACCTTCAAACACCTCTCTTGCAAGATCTGTAACCTCAATTTATACATCCAATTTCTCTTCATTCTCACCCTGGCTACAAGACGACCAATCTTATCCTTCAAATATAGTACTTGGTCCTTTATTAAAATTGAGTTACCTTTTTCCAACAACTAACCCACACTTAAAATATTGTTCTTCGGCTTAGGAACATAGTAAATGTCCCTAATCTCGCCAAATCTTCCATCCTTCTACATATGCCGGATTGTTCCATGCCCTTGCACAACCCCCTTATAGTCATCTCCAAAAGACACAAATCTGACCTCCACCTTGGTGAGTTCATCAAAGAGTGTTTCATCTCCACACATGTGATTTATTGCTCCAGAGTCTATCTACCATACCGATTGATAGAAATCTCCTCGGCCTTTCATTTCAAGCACGTCCATCATCCGAGTTCTCCAACTTCGTTTCTGAGCACTTCATCAACATTGTCGAGTTCTTTGGCAACTCGGTGCTCAATAGAACCCCCATCTCTTCATCATCTTCCTCTATAAGAAGGTTTCTCTCACTTTTCTTATCAGCTCGACAAAATTTAGCAATGTGATCGAACTTAGCACAATTGTAGCACTTCCTCGATCTACACTCGTTTGCATAATGGTCATGCTTGCCACACTTAAAATACTCCACTCATGACCGATCTCCTCAACCTTTCTCTTGTCTTTGATCATGCCAATTCTACTGACTGGTTTGTTCTTCATTATCATTCTCAAAATTACCTTGGCCATGTCCACCTCGTCCTCGGCCTTCTCGTCCTCTGCCTTTAGGACCTCAACTTTGAGTAATCCGAGTTTCATTCGAATCAAACTGTGTATGTAGTGCTTGATCGAGAGGTTTAACCTGATTATCCCAACTTCTTCTCCTTTTATCCTGGGCTTCTAATGACCCAGCAAATTCATCCACTATGAGAATTAACAAGTCCTTCGATTCTTCGATGGCGCACGTGATACTTTCGAAATCTTTTTTTAGTGAACTCAAGATTTTTCCCACAACCCGGCTAGGTAACATTTGTTCTCCATTCCTACGGAGTTGGTTGCCCACCTTCTCCACCCAAATTATGTATTCGATTATATGCTCTTTGAGCCCCATCTTCAACTGTTTAAACTCTGCTCTGAGAGTTTGTATTTGGACTTGTCTAATGCGGTTGTCACCTTTATATGCAACTTCCAATGCGGCATTGCTATTTTTTCGAATCCCGACTCATCTACTGCATTGTAGAGAAAATACAATGTTAACCTATCTCTTGCACGTGTTTTCTTCAACACGGGCATCTGTGCCACCAAATGATGTTCATCGTCATTAGGTTCGTCATCATTAGGTTCAACGTACTCGTCTTCCACCATATCCCAAATGTCTTGGGATCTCAATAACGCCTTCATCTGTAGGCACCAATTATTATAATTGGTTTATCTCGTTAATTGTGACACACTCATACCATTGACAACCTTTGCTATCTCTTTCACAAAAAACTCAAGCATTCAGTATTTTTCTCATGGTGTTTGACTCTTTCCTCTCTCCTTTTTTTTTCTCTGTACTCAGAGTATAAAGCTTTGATACCATTTTGTTAAAAAATAAAACATCCGCTACGCACACGCCAATTATATTTCTCTGTAAACTGCAGTGTTATCTTTCATCTAAAGGTGGCTTTAAATAGTCGTAACAGAGGCCTTGGGCCTTTTACAAAATGATAATAACATATTTAAATAAAAACTTAAATATAATATATATATATCTAATTCACTACCTACTGCTTTTCGAATAAAAACAAACGAGTCAAATAATTGTGATTGACCACGTTAAGTAAAACACACAGTAAACAAAATATTAAAAAATTAAATCTAATGATTTAAAGTTTATTCAACATTTTACACTGACTCAAACATGAAAGAAAGTTAATGTTTATGTATAAATTTCACCTATTAGTCTATTTAATGTTATTATTTCAAAAAAAATTGTACTCGGTTTTTATTGTTATGATATAGTGTTCTAGAAATTGGAATTCTTTGTTTATAAAATCATGAACATTAAACTAACCGAACTAACGTTAACCTTCTTCATCATAGTCAAATATGTATAAATTAAAAAAATTATAAATTACTTTTTTAAAAAATTGTGTTCAAATGAAATAATATTTCGAAAAAATTATAAAAATAATAAACATAAATTTTAAAAACTTATTGTATGTAAAATAATTTCTAGTGATCTCACCCTTTTCTCTTTCTGATACCTCGTCAGTCACCAATGATAATGTGGGGAAGTTCCTCTGGGCTGAATCAGCATTATAAGTCAAGTAGAAAGTGGAAGATGGCTCCTTCCCGATGTGTACTACGGTCCTTTTGGTTAGATGAAAACAACATAATAATCAAGGAGTTTATGCAATTCAATATCCCAAGCATTTTCTATTTCTGAAAGAATATAATTGTGCATTAAGTCTTACTTTGCAAATGAAGGAGACATTGTAATGGAGAATGGCAAGGCTCCTACTTGTTTTTGTTTCTTCTTTTATCATATTCTTGGTGGTATTTTGACATTCTCTCTTTTGCCTTTCTTAAGATTAACCTTGATCGCCGAGTTTGGAGACACAGATGTTGTTCATTTAAATTATGCACCATATTGTGCCATTGTTCATGATTTTGGAAATTGTGGTTTGACGGGAGAAATTTCTTGGTTCTGTACAGGCTGGAATAAGTGGAGGTGGTAATTTGCCGTGGGAAGTCGATAAGTTTTTTGAGGTCTGATATTTCAATCATGTGAAACCTGTAACAATTTTTTTTGAATCTACTTGGCCATTTCACGTTGGTGCTTCTATTATGTCATGCAGGCAATTGGTGTGAAAGTACAAAATGGATATGGTTTAACAGAAACTTCACCAGTTGTAGCAGCTCGAAGACCTGGATGTAATGTAAGCAACTTAATGCATTGAAAATTGAAGAATGTTGACAACTTTCTATTTATTATTTGGTGAAATTCATGTGTGACTTACTCATTTCTTAATGGGACAAATTCTTTCAATATTAAAGTGACTTAAAGTAGCGTGCTTGAAAATTTTCTACCTGTACATTCCAATTAGGAAGCACACTTCAAATGCAAATTGTTAATATTTATCAGTTAGTATTTTTTTAAAATTCTGTAGTTTCTGTTTGGTCTTTTACATTTTTAATGAAATTTTTCGCTTAATATGTTAAGAGAACAGTGTCCATCCTGTGGTACATTTATCTGAGAATGTTACAGATACATTCTTCTGAAGGTTCTTGGATCTATTGGGCATCCAATTCGTGAAACGGAATTCAAAGTCGTAGATTCTGAAACTGATGAAGTTCTTCCACCTGGTTCAAAGGGAATTTTAAAAGTCAGGGGTCCACAAGTGATGAAAGGATACTTCAAGGTAATTTGTTATGTTAGAGTGCGAACATTTGTTTGCAAATATACTTTGTTGGGGTGTAGGGGAGGGCAGAGAGAAAATGCATTATATTAGTTTTGTTTCTTACTGCAAATATATGGGAGATACCTTTGCAGTTACATTTATAGTGATGTTTTTTGGATGAAATTATAATGATAGTTATCTGTCTCTGTATTAGAATCCTTTAGCTACAATTCAGGCATTAGACGGTGATGGATGGTTGAATACTGGTGATATAGGGTGGATTGTTCCCCATCATTCAATTGGGCGGAGTCGTCAGTCTAGTGGCATGATTATTGTGGAAGGCCGTGCTAAAGACACTATCGTACTTTCGACGGGTAAGTTGAAGTTTCAATAAAATGTGATCTATTTATCATTTAGAATGTCTATGTCTACTATGTCTATGTACGAACGATTCAATATTATTTTCATCCATTAGAGATGTCAAACAAAGGACAGCCAATAATAGGAACTTGAAGAAAAGTTTTTTATCATTTATACTCGTGTCAGAATCTCAAACATAACTTCATTTATTACGTTCTGTTTTTCACTGCTTCTTTCTCCTTCTCTGTATATGAATATACATGTCTTTCTCTTCTGATGACAACACATTCATTGTAATAATACATGTTACAAGTTTCTGTTTTCTCTTCTCCTTCATTACGACATCTGTTACAATGAGCCATCTTGACGCTTCTCTTCACGGGTATGGGTATAAGGGTTGTGCACCGATCATCATTGTTGGAGTATCTCTGTGATCCTATCAGAGCTCTTCCTTTGAATAGCTATGCTACGCCAACAAACTCTGATTTCTCCCCTTTCTTTTGACTTCTTACAGGTCTTTCTTCTTCTTTTTTCCATTCTTGCACCATGATTGATGAGCATAACCAGCCTTTGAGCTTTTTGAGTCTTCACCCGAGCGAGAGCCCAACCAACTCCTTGGTTTCCCCTATTCTTGATTCAACCAATTACCATGCATGGAGCAAATCCATGACCACTGCATTGAGTGCCAAGAATAAATCTCAGTTCATCGATGGGACTGCTGCAGAGCCACCTCGAGGAGATCCCTCTCATAACGCCTGGAAAAGATGCAACAACATGGTGGTTTCTTGGTTGGTCCACTTAGTTTCACCAGAAATCAGACACAACATTCTTTGGATGGAAGACGCCCTAGCAATCTGGAATGACCTCAAATCAAGATTCTTCTAGGGAGATTTGTTGCGCATCTCCGAGCTACAAAGAGAAGCTTCTTCTCTAAAGCAAGGAACATACACCGTCAGTGAGTTTTGCATTAAGTTGCGTATCATATGGGATGAGTTAGAGAACTTTCGACCTGATCGCATATGCACTTGTGACGTCCAATGCTCCTGCAAAATGACCTCAACGATCTCACAAAGGAAGCATGAAGACCGAGCATTGCAATTCCTTCGTGGCTTAAATGAGTGGTACAGTAATATCCAATCTCATGTCCTCTTACTGGATCCTATACTCCCCGTTTCCAAGATCTTTTGCTGTCATGCAGCAGGAAAGAAAATTGATGAATAACAATTTCATAAATAGCCTTGAACCCAAAAATGTCAATGCAACTATAAGTACTCTTATTTGTTCCTTTTGTGGCAAGACTGGCCACACTGACACTGTGTGTTTCAAGAAACATGGGTTTCCTGCAAAACTCCCTCCAAATAAGAAATATTGCTCTCACTGTGGCAAGACAGGCCATACGGTTGATGTATGCTATGGGAAACATGGATACCCACCCGGTCACAACTTCTACAATGGTAAAAGTCTCCTCTCAAGAAGCCAAGAACCCATCAATGACAGTCCGAGATATAATTTTGATCCTGAAGTGCGCCTCACTAAGCAACAATATTAGGCCCTCATGGCTCTCATGAACCCCACTGCTGACACTGCCTCCAACCCTTAAATCGGTTCCGTGATTTCCAATTCCCAAGACCCAGGTAAAACCATTTTAACTTTTGACTCTGCTGCTGCAACCAGTATCACAACATGGATCCTAGACTCTAGACTCTAGTGCCACTGACCATGTTGTTTCTTCCCTTAAACACTTCCATTCTTGTGATCAAATTAGACCTCTCACTATTAATCTCCCCAATGGCATCACCACCAAAGCCACGCATAAAGGAAACATAAAGTTTTGTGACACACTTTGCCTAAAAGATGTTCTTTATATCCCTGATTTTTCCTATAATCTCATCTATATCTAAAATGGTTTTGCATAATAATGTTTACGTAAAATTCCCTAATTCTCAATGTTTCATCTAGGATTCAACAACACACCACAAGATTGGTTCAGCTGACCTCCACGCTAGTCTATATGTCCTTCATGGCCCTACCCTCATTATTTTTTCTTTTGTTCACTTTGCTAGTTCACAACAGCCACTCATTGCTGCCAATAACAACATTTGGCACAACCACTTAGGCAACCTATCTGATAAGAGACTGGAGGTTCTTAAACAAAAATATTATTGCATCAAATACAATTGTAATGTCTGCCACATTGCCAAACAAAAGAAATTGCCTTTTACTTCACATAACTCTGTTGCTTTACATGCTTTTGATCTTATACATATAGATATTTGTTGACCTTGTTCCATTGCATCCATACATTCTCATAGATATTTTTTAACAAATGTCGATGACTATACTAGATACACATGGGTTCATTTAATGCATGCCAAATCTGAAACAAGAAATCACATTCTGCATTTGATATCTTATATCAAAAACCAATTTCAAACCACCATTAAAATCATCAGATCTGATAATGGTCCTGCACGACTACTTTAGTCCTCAAGGGATCATTCACTTAAACCTCTTGTAATGAAACCTCTCAACAAAATAGGATTGTTGAAAGAAAACAACAACACCTTTTAAATGTCACTAGGGTCTTGCTTTTTCATTCAAAACTTTCTACTCAATTCTGGACATATGCTCTCAATAACGACTCTCCATATGACAAACTTTACTACACAACTTTTGATATCACTGGACTTAGTTTTCGGATGCCGTTGCTACACCAACACCCTTCAATCTCATAGAAAGAAACTAGATCCGCGTGCTACTGCTAGTGTTTTCATTGGTCTTCATCCCACTGCTAAAGGAAATATAACTTACAATGTTGACACTCATGCCATTCACATCTCTAAAAATGTTGTTTTTTGTGAAAATGAATTTCCTGATATGGCATCTACTTCCTCACTGCATTATGCTTTACCTCCCTCTATCATCACATCATCATACAATTCTACATGATACTGATCAACCCACTCCCCCTGTCCCTAATCATTCTTCTTCTCTTAACAATGAAGAGCATCTAGACAATAATTTCATTTCCCCTAGGTGATCTACTCGCACTAGAACTATGCATGTGTTATGACCTCGGCAAGTGTACCGAATGGTATCAAGTAATAATTATGGTAAGACCAAGTATCATTTCCCAAGAGACTCACAGCCTAAACAGTTATGTGATTTCCTGATTAAATATGACTTGAGAACAAAATCTTTTGGTTTAAAATGCAGAAAATAAACATGAATGCAAGTGTTGATCAATGGACAATAAAAATGCACATGTGAATGGTTTGTAAAATATGGAATGGTTATGTTGTTGGGGGTTTCAACTTATCCTATCCACTCTCATGTATTTATGAATTCGTCTTCTTCATTAATGTTAATGACACTTTCTAATTTACTTTAGACCCGATGTCTCGGCGAAGAAAGCCTATCCTTAATTACTAGTTTACAATGTATTGTCTCCCTAACTATTAATTCTGCATTCTAAACGCGCAGAAGCTTAAAGGCAACCAATTCTCATATCCCTATATCTAGGCAATACTGCTTTTGGGAGACATTCCCAGATCTAGATTTTCCTGTATGTGTCCATATTGACAAAATCAATTATCATGTTATGAATGATTTAAACAAAGCAAACATAGAGTATAGAGGAAAAACCCTAACAATTAATGAACAAAGAATTTAAAATAAGAATCAATTCAATACATGAGAGTTTCAAAGGATTACATCGTTTCCCCAATAGCAATTGAAGTTTAGTTCACGATAGACATGGTGAAACTAGATGAATAATGGAAAAGAATGAGATAGAAAAACCCTAAATGTTGAAGATAGGAGCTTCCGCCTCCTAATCCGCCTCCAAGAGAGTGTTTCTACGCCTTCTGTTAAAAGATACCAAGTCTAGGACGTCCAAATCCTTAAATAGAGCACAAAAAAAGTCCAAGCCCACGAAAGCATTTGTGCTCAGCGGCCCTAGAAGGGCGCCTAGGCGTGAGTTGCGGTACTAACTAGCGCTCAGCGACACAAAAAGGGCGCTCAAGCGCCAAGGCGAGACTTCAGCGCTGAGGTCCTCCAAACGGGCACTCAAGCGCCACCTGCGATTCTTCTCTTTGATGATTTTCCAACTTTTCCTGAGTTTGAGCTCCTTGATATTTCAACTCTTCTTCCAAACCATCCTAAGTCCTTTAAAACTAGGAAAACCAAGCGTAAAACCAAAAATTCCACCTTCAACTCTCTTACTCTCATAACTAAAGCAAAAACATCATTTTAAGTTAGTTTCTAAGTCATAAAGGGTGTTTTTAGTATCAAAATTAAGTATCAAATAATGGTATTTTCAACCGTTATCACAACCCCAAACTTAAAACTTTGCTTGTCCTCAAGCAAACAGGATGTAACTCAGCTTTCAAACAATCAATACAATGGTTCACACATTCCAAAACTCTTTCTTTCAAGACAAGTAATTACTCAAATAATCTCATCACAAAGAATTCAGTCAAGATGTACACATGCCTTGATTCAAAAAACTCATCATGGTGCTCACAAAATCACATAATATCCAACTGATGCTATTCTCATAATGATCAATTAACTAAGCATAGATGTAATCATGTCTTCATGGAACTACTCCTCACCAGTCAAAGTGTTTCACTCAATCACATAGGTGTATATAGAGGTAACTCCTTCACTCTACTATTCCAATGTCACATAAAAACAAATTGCCTTTCATTTAACCACAATCAAACACACTCACAAACAAGTATCATCACAAGGACTTTCCATGGGTTGTAATGTGGCTGGGCTAAGAAGAACATTGGTTTTTCTGGATCACAAAATCCTTGAGTTAAGAGAGTCATTCATAAATTTTTTTTCATTCAAACACAATCTCTTTTTCCAATTACTCAATTTCACTTATTCCCAACTTTCCCTAGCATTGAGTTTTTCTTTCTTTCTTTTCTTTTCTTTTTCCTTTGCTTTCATTTGCTCAATACTTAGCTCAATGCTTATTCTTTTCATTTTCTTTTTCCCAACAACCCCATACTTGAACCTTTATCAATAGCATACAAAATATTCTCAACTTAACTTAAGGTAAATATTTTCAACAAAGGGTTTTATTTCGTGATTTAAGGCTCAAGGTTCAAAGGATAGAACACATTGTGCTCTTTTTTGTTGGACTAAAATCATGCATTGGCTAAAAAGGGATAACAACAGATGACCTTGTTCATATGACACACGCAAGCAAGCGATTCAATCATAGAAACCATTCATGCTTTCAACGGAATAACAATCATTCACAACACAAACTCTAGAGCTCAAAACCTCACATACAAGCTAATTCAAAGTTCTAGATAATTCAGATAAACATCCTGCTCAACATTATAATCATAATCATAACTTCCTTCATGCATCTGTTCACACATCTTATGAGCAACCACCTGCATATCAGCATCTTATGCACCATCTCAACATCAATCAATTATAAGAGCATCATCAAGCAAAACTCATCACAACACAACATCATTAAACCATTGCATTAGATATAAGTTTTAACCAAGTACATAACAACCTATTCTAAAAACAGAAGCAAATAACAAGAAAAATTTTAGAAAACTGGGTTACCTCCCAGTAAGCGCTTCTTTAACGTAACTAGCTTGACCCAATAAACTAATGAATCTTCTATGTTGGTATTCCTCTTGCTTTCATCACGCCAACTCATCAATAGCTTCCTGTCCACCTTTTTGACTCTTCTAGAATATGGAGCTTCAATCTCTATTACTCCATTCTCTTTAAACTCTTTCACAACCCACAACTTGTTTTTGAATATCACCGGTGTGCCAAGTTTGAGTTGTTCATCCACCGAGTCATGATGAACCATCTTCCCTTTACCATCTTTTTCTTCCTCCTTAACCTGTGACAAGAAACAATTTTTACCTTTGTTGACCGACTTAGCATCTTCAGGCCTAGTCATTAGTGCATCTTCATATGCAGCTTTATGACTATTCTTCTTAACTTGAATCTACTCCTCCACATTGAAGACATTAAAGATCACCTCCTCTTCTCGGTCTTTAAGTGCTATCGTCCCATCATCCATATTGGGATCTTTTCATCAAACTCACTATAAATCACTTCTAACATGATCCAATAATAATTGGAATTGAATGGCCTTCCAAGAATAATTGGGATCTTTTCATCTTCCTTCATCTCCATCACCACAAAATCAACCAAGAATTCAAGTTTATCTATACAAACCACAACGTCTTCCACTACACCATAGGGTTTCTTGGTAGATCCATCCGCCATTTGCAAAGTAACCTTTGTAGACTTAACTTTAAGACCACCAATCCTTTCAAGCACAGATAAGGGAATCAAATTAATGTTTAACCCTAAATCAATTAGGGTTTTCCCTATCTCAACATTCCCTATGAGGCAAGGAATAGTAAAACTTCTTGGATCTTTAACTTTTGGAGGAAGTACCTTCTGCAAGATAACACTGCAATTGCCTTGTACATCAATAGTTTCCTCATCTAAATCTCTTCTTTTTTAGGACTTTCTTCATATGCTTCGCATAAGCAGGAATTTGCTATAGTGCTTCGGTCAAGGGCATAGTAATCTCCAATTGCTTGAAGATCTCCTTAAAACGCTCATATTGCTTCTCTTTATCAATTTTTTTACACTCCTTAGGGTAAGGAAGAATCTTTTCAATTTTCTCAAATTTTTTCTCTCCCCTCTTCTTTTCTTTCTCTTTTCTCTCAACCTCACCTATTCTCTCTTCTTTTTCTTCTTTCAACTCAACTCTTTCTTTTCTCTCCTCTACCCTCTCATCAGTTATGCTCACAATAGCTTTACATTCTTCCTTAGGGTTAACCTCAATATTAGCCCCAAATTGCTTCTCAACTTTATCCTCCAACTTCTTAGCCACTTGGCCTACCTGCATCTCCAAATTCCTTATAGTAGCTTCAGTGCTCTTGTGGTTGGAGATAGTTAGTTACCTGCATAAATTGTTGAAAAGTTTCTTCAAGCTTTGAAGTTTTGTAAGATAATGCAGATATCTGTTGCCATTGTGATTATTGCTACGGTGGTCTATTAAATTGTCCTGCTTGCCCCGATTGCACAAATTGACCTTGACCTATACTTGGGTGAGGTTTGCACCCTTGGTTGAAATTACCTTGGCGGAATTGATTGCCCATATAATTGACGTCTTCTTGGGTCTCCACTAGAAAAGCACATTGACCATTGATATGATCACCACCACATAGTTCATAGAGTTTCTGTTGAACCTGTGAAACATTCTGCATTTGAGAGAGTTTCTTTGTCAAATTCTCCAATTGCTGAGTGATAATTTTATTCTTTGGAAGAAAAGCGTCATGAGATTGTAACTATGGGACTCCCTTCTGCTGAGATGGAGCTCCTCTTTCACTATGCATCTCATTATCATTTGTAGCCATATTGTCAATTAATTCATAAGTTTCCTCTG